GAGTAATCTTTAAATCTTTTTGTGAAGTCTAGAAATCAATGAAGTGAGTCAATAAATCGTCTCTAACAGCCGTCACTCAACAAAGTAGAAAAGTGACTACTTTGCAGATCTCTAGCAATTGTTATTAAGCAAGATACAAACTAAATGGAGGTGGGACACATCTTAAGAAGCTTCATCTTTAAGTCCACATAGTAAGAGAAGGCTTTTCATCGCATCTAATATGCTCTTAGAAGGTGGCAACTCGTCTCCTAATAGTTCAACTATCTGTTTAATGACTATTTATTTGTCGATCAATCAGAGATGATATATTTAATAGATTCGTGATTTTTTTATTCATAATCATTTGATAATTTTAGTAACGATACTCCATGAATCACATTGACAAGATTTTTGTCGATGATTAAGTGATTCTGACAATTTAATCGTTCACCACCAATTTACAAAAAAATTATAATTTAATCAAATAAAAATATGAGCTTTGACTCTAGTAAAATTCGAACCCTCGTTAGTCGCCCACCTACATGAGTGAGAGTTAAATACGTATGCGAATATTCTTATAAAGTGATGTCGTAATGATGTCTCCTTCTCATAAATAAGAGATAGTTTAGGTATTAAAATAATTAAAAATCTTACATGAAGTTGTGATGTCAGTTTAGTCCCACATCAGTTATTTTCTAAGTTTTGTGGTGTGTATATAATAATACAATATTTTAGGGCTAATAAGCCTCTCTCTCACATGTGTATGACCACTCCTTGCCCCATGCATAACTAACCACTAGTGACATGGAAAGAGAGTGACATATATGTGTCCCCTACCGATCTGTCCTTAGTCGCTTGAGCCTCCTCCTTGCAGCTCTGCCCAACTGTGCTTTTGGTCTGCTTGTGGGCCTAACTAGTTGGCAGGTTTCTTCCTTTTTCTATCTTTTTATTTTATTTTATTTCTTTTTTTTATTTCAAAGTAGGATTCTAAAAATTATATAAATTCACATAAAATCACATAATTAACTAAAAAATTATATTAATCAACTAAAAACCATTTTTAATAATTTAACATAAATATAAGTCTATTTATAATGAATTAAGAATAAAAATATATTATTAATTAATTATTCACTCATGATAATGAAGACTTATTAGACATCAATTCATATTGTTGTCTACTTAATTATGTGATCATAAATAACTTTTCAAATAGTCCACTCTTGAGGTTACCTCAATTTTCCTAAACATATATGATTTTTTAAAATAAAAAATATTATTTTAAATCTTAAGTATCTAAAACAATTTACTTACGTATGAAGATCCACATAAGCTAACATAAATTTTTATGCACTTGTGGCTTATCTTATGAGTCCTTAAAAGGAGGATTAATTATTTGACGTTGATGGCTTAACTTTGCTGATAAGTCTCTAAAACATTGGATCACCAAATCTTCTTGAAGAAATCAAGCATACCTCAATTATGCTTGCTAGGTTAATTCATGTTAGAAGACATTTCTATGCCTAAAAAAAGTACCTTTTTATAAATGTATAATATATTGGATCAATTAATTTAGGTCATGATTCACATGTACATATCTAATCATCTAAATTTTTTTAGATGATCTTTCTCATGAGCTATTTAGCAAATAAATTATTTAACTCACCTTGTTAAGTGTATTGGTTAAGGATTTGAATGTTGAAAAATATGCATACAAGATAAAAGAAAAATATTCATGAATATATTATCCTGGGACTAATGCTCAGATAAAAAAACTAAATTATTAGATATAGATGGATTATATTTTTTAGGCACAATATAGTGAAAAGAATCATCAAGAAAGATAAATATTATAAGTTAGATTTGAAACAAGAGAAGATTATATTAACAAAAGTAGACAAGAAAAAATGTCTCAACTTATGTCAAGTTCAATGAAAAATAGAGAGAGAAAATATGTCACTCAAACTAAAGGTAAATCAGGTTTTAAGAGAAAAAAAGATCCTCTTTATTTAATACATCAGACATCTCATAACAACCTGATCCATTCTAGAAGATCATTGAGTTATCATGGCATGCTAGAAGGTCAAAGGAAAAATCATAAAATCTCATGTAATACAATTGCAAAGTGACCATGTTAAAAGTTGGTGAAACTGATTGGTTACTGCACAAATTATTTAGCAAGTAAACTCAATGTCAACTCTCATGATATTTTATTGCTCAAATCTTAATATTTAAACTTCAATTATTGATATTTTAGGCTATATAAAGTCTACCAAAAGAGCTTTCAAATAGTGTCAAAATGATAGATTATTCAATCCACTCTTTCAAGATCTCTCATCTAATCTCTGCTGTAGGTGTAAACTTTCCATAAGCTTCCTGAAACATTCAAACACCAACAAAATTGAGGAAGCTCATGTATTCAACCCAGAAATCAATTTTTAAGCCTCTATGAAGTGCTAGCAACAAGGGAGAAAAATGCAAGCTAGTGCCTACATATCTAAGTGAGGCAATAAACCTATGAAACCTGTCACATCAAATAACTTGTTGATCATGTGAATTTCAACTATCATTCTTTTATGGAGAATAGTAGAAACAAAGGGTAATAACCCTTAGGAAATGAATGTATGTAAGAAAAGCTGAAACTATTACAAACTTAGTTATCATCTCTATTTAGTGTGTAAACTCACTGAGTCAACCAGATCTAATATCTATAGACTGAATTAACATAGGATCAAGAACAATGACTTAAAACCATTGAAAAACATAAAATATTTTTTAATACTAATTCACCTCTGCTCTTAGCATTCTTCCTAAACTTCCTTGGGGTCAATAAGTGTATATAGTATTTTAGACAATTATTAATCTTAAATAAGAGAGCACTCCTCTGTCCATAGAAGTTAGGATTAAGGACTTATATCAAGGTCGATAATAGTTGACATGTATTTTTATAATTCTCTAAAAATTTGAAAACTTTCTTGAACTTAAACACAAACAAATTTTAGTCAAGTCCTTAGAATGTAAAAACTCCTTCTAAAATGATTTCAAAGTATAAGGTCCTAATTCTTCTATTACATTAATAGATTAGAGTCATAACTCACTAAAATTTTATTGATATCCTTCAAATACAAAATATTGATAGTATTCCCCAATATGTTAACATTAACATCGTTGGAAGCTTAAAGTAAAACAACTATTGAATACTACAACAAAATATATTAATGGCAAATTAAATGTGTACAAAGCACTTCAACACTCCACCATCATCAATATAGAATAATTTTCTTATTTTGAGAATAACTTCTATATTTATCAGAATCTACTCATTTAGATTGAAAATGAACTTCCCTCATAGTGAATGCAATCCTAATTTTGAATGTCCTATGCTTTGGTGAATTTCAAAGTATACTGATGAGAACAAATACCCATTTGAGGATGGAGTTAAGCGTCCAGCCTTTGAATAACAATTATTCTGGGATAGGGAAAATCTAACATTTAAAAATGAAAATATAGTTTTAGGGCATTATAACTTCTAATATTAATAGGCAATTATATTCCCTAGCATTTCTTCAATTAAAAGACTCAATTTGGTATTCACACTCTCAACAATCCCAAAGTCAGCTATCTAGCTCCTCACAACAATGAAACTAAGAATAGAGTTTTTGTTTTCTGCTAGAAGTGGGCAGTGTTGAATTCACTGAAGTAGCACAAAAAACAAAGAAGGGGTGGGGATGAGGAGAGGGAACAATGAATTGGTCTTTATACTCTTGATGAAAGTTACTTCTTTCTTAGATTTCCCACTTAGATATTTTTAACAGTTTGGCCAACCCGACTCTCCCGTCCTAAGGTTCTACTAACTCAGTGAAACTACATTGTACACAAATGCTTCAAGTAGCCTTCACTTAATTTCCAACTCTAGTAAACCTTACAATTCACCTCAAGATACCTTTTTTAGACTCAAAAGTCATTATTCTGAGTACTAAAATACAATTCAATCAATAATGAGCTCTTATAAAATAAGCGTGCAACTTCCATTGCATGATTTCTTTGCTCGAAATTGTAGAAGCAACTTGCATAGAGGAATACTTTTTCTCAATTAAAGTAGAATCATTGATTTCCTTTGATGAGATTTGGCAAGAGTGTTGTATATATGCTGACCTGTTTTCCTAATTCTCTAAAACTTTTAACAATTGAAAAAAAAGTAAAAAAAACTAGTCTCCCATCAGCTATAGCATATTCTATTGAAGTGTATAACTGCCCTATCTTTCTTCTAGGTCAATTCAAGGGTAAATTCACGTGTTGAATCTTTTTTTGATTGAGAGAATATGAAAGATTATAAAAAAAAAATAGCTCTAAAATATAGAATAAATTTTATAAAATATCTTAAATCACATGCAATACATTCAAGCATATTTAAAAATATTTTTAAATATATTTACATTTTATGATGTAGAGTAACTGTTTTAAACATGATTTGCGTCAAATTGTGGAAAATTTATGATATATTTATATCTATTATGATTTATGTTTATCCAACTGTAACATTGGAGATTATTGTGTTACCCTCCTACACTTTGTCATCATCAAAACCATTATGGCCATCAAAACCAACATGCAAGAATATCCAGTCAAAGAATTTTTGGGGATTTTAGCAGAGGATTAAGTAAGAAATGATTTACTACAAATAATATAATGCACATATGTCAACAAGACTCTCTCTCTCTCTCTCTCTCTCTCTCTCCTTCCTCATGAAATGTTCACAGAGGTATAAGAAATTGGGTTGGTTGCCGACATTGATGTCTTCTTTTGCGCAGAAGTCAACATATCACAACCCAGAGATTTTAGTGAATTTTCAGGGGATTTTAGTAGAGAACTAAATAAGAAATGATTTCTAGTAAATATTACAATGCACATATGTCAACAAGATTCTCTCTCTCTCTCTCCCTTCTTTCTCATGAAATGTACAAAGAGGTACAAGAAATCGGGCTGGCTGCCAACAGTGAGGTCTTCTTCTGCACAGAAGTCTAACATATTACAACCCGGAGAAGACCAGGCTGGTCCTCAGAGAACTGCAGGTTCTCATGCAGCAAGTACTGCTGCACTACGACCGGGAGCCGCATTTGTGGGCGGGGACTTCGGGTTGGGCCCTCTACCCCCACACACACCATGACTTGAAGACGCCGTCCAGCTGACTTGGCAGTCCTCCTCAGGATGCTGAGCTCGTGCTTCAGCACGTGGATGGCTTCATTCACGTGGAGCCCATGCAGGTCGATCAGGGGGTTCGGGCCCCTGCAAAAATAAGACATAAAGAGATCAATATACGGCAACGATTGCTACAAAATGGAGTGGACACCGATATCAATGGCAGAATATAACTTGCTATACTTCAAATGTCTAAGATTTCTAGCATCTATTACTTGCAGAGACATGAAATATAAGAAAAGAACAACTAGATATAAAGAGAAGACCAAGTACTAGTTGTTATGGCAACCGACAAGGAACGGAGTAGGCCTGGATATTCAGCCACAGACTTTTTTTTTTGTTACACTGAAAATGTGGGATTATTCTACCATGCATCATCAGTTATAGAGAAATAAAATATCAGGAATGACTAATACGATATAAAGGGAAGACCAAGATAGGAATAGTATCTGTCATGTTGGTTAATAAAGAATGGACTACACCTGAATTTGACTTCTTATACCTTAATGTGGGATTATCCAGAAGGTGCCATCACTTGCAGAGAAATAAATAGAAGAACGAATAACATGGATAGAAATAAAAGACCAAGAACATAGGAGCAGTAGTCATGGCAATCGCAATAAGAGATGATGTAGACCTGAATAATTAACCACAGAATTTAGCTTGTCGTAACGTGGGATAATTCTAACACGTACAATTATGGTGGGTATACTGATTTTCTAGGGCTCTCACACAAAGCCAACACAGACAGAATCCACAAGATAGGAAAGGGGCATAGAGTTCAAATAATATGTTGAAGTTTTATAGTAGCTGCGCTCGAAACAAATGGACCATAAATGAGATAGGGTCATATATTAAACCATAAAATTTGATGTCTCCTTTAATAGTAGTCATATGATGAATGCTGTAATCATGGATTAATTAATATTTAGAATGTAACATTTGACAACCATGTAAAAATCACAACCTTGTTCAAAAGTCAAGGCAAACGACCAACCTCTGCTGCTGCATTACTTCTCTGGGCTTTTCTTGCACCTCTTTCATCTGGATATTGTACATTTGGCCTTTGGCACCAAGCTCTTTGCCAAGGGTCTTGCTACCAATTAAGTAAGCTTGTTTTTCCTGTAAAAGTGTACATGCAGGTGAAAGAAAGAAAAAAAAAAGTCATGAAAATCTTTGATCGATAGCAGACTGCAGAGAAAGAAAGAATCCACACTTTCTTTCTTACATTAAAAAAAAAAATGAAAATATTTCATCTTGGGCAGTGGGACAACATAAACACTGAAATATATACTCTCATGGGTTTCTTCTCGAGGAGCATGAGGAGAATCACAAAATGGGCCAAGCTGTTGAGAGAACCATGCGGGATTTCTGCCTCTTTTAACCTCCCCGACATAGAGAAGAGCATGCTTGGGGTGTTCAGTCCATGGAATGCAAAGACATGCAGAGAGGTGACGAATAGCCTCTCATTCGCTGCATGATAGAATCCAATTTTCTTTCTAAAAAGAGAAGTAGACGATAATATGAAATAAAACCATTAATTGTTTGGCCTGACACACTGACACAGGGTACACTTTTTCTTTTATTGGAAAAGAGACTGATAAGACCGATACAAATACAATTTGCTTCATGCATACATCACAACTTGCTCCTTTGACCCCTCATCCTAAAACAGCTATTTTCTTTTTTTCTGCTGTGATATGCTTATGATTGCAGAACAGATTATACACGAAAACCTTCACAAAGTGAAGAAAAAACAAGACAAGATCTAATTCCTTCTCATGATCACAGTATTTTTTTTAATCATCGCAACCTCCTCCTGTTGTCACTGCGACTGTGGTGACTTCTATTCGTATTACCATTCGCAGGAAGAATGAATGTGAACAGAAAAAGAGCCAATATTTAACGTGTGCATAGCATGACCGTGATTTTTGTGCTCACCCGTTGCTCGTAGAAAGCATTCCTAAGGCGAGCAATATCCTGGGCTTCCTCTCTCATATCCGAATACATTTGAGCTGAGAAGACAAGGTTATAAGACAAAAGGCAACAAAGGAGAGGGCGGTCCAGACAAATGCGTCACTAAATGCAGAAAATTTTGAAGGATGTAGATGAAGATATTACCCACTACATCTCCAGTTTCATGCCATTGTGGAGCAACTGAGGTTTTTCCATAACCACCCAACTTGTCTCCAATGACAGCCTTCCCAGGGACGTTATATGAGCTCGTTAAGATTTGTGAATTTCTGATCAGGCTGATTCTTGCATCCGTAGAACCATCCCGTTCATACTTCCAATCCTCAGAATCCTGAGATCGAGTTTTATGGAAGCTTGGAACGAAATCTCGAGTACCCAGAGGTTCACCAGAGAAGGGGGACTTAAACAAGGAGAAGCCCTCCTTGTCCACAAACCGAAACGCATCTTTAGCTTGCTGGAGCTCTTTGCCACCATGCTTTGGCAACCTATTCACATTGTCTGGTACTGAATGTATGTTAAGATCATTTAGGCTTGGAGCAGATGACGCCTTTGAGCCCATGTTCGGGCTGAAACCAACATCAACTTTGAGCTGCAGCCACAGACCAATCAATTATCTGAAAAAGCACTAATTTGGATATGAGCAGGTAGATAACACAGATCTATGCAGCAGAAAGGAAAAGTCAATGACTTTGACTTCAACAATTGGCACTGTACCCTCTAAAGTTACGTTGCATATCTAGAAAGGGTGTGGGACGGGTCCAAATTCAGAAATTAAAATATGCAGCTATGTACATAATAATGCCTATGTAATCACAGTACGTAAAGCCATTGCCAGGAAGCAGAGCAGAATGAAAGGAAACTTGTCACAGGACGACCAAGTTTTTAAGGGGATTTTGGGTTTCACGAAACCCATTTTTGTATAATGCAAAGTTTTTTTGACAACAATGCTAACATCTTGCCATTTTAATAAAAACAAGGAGGCACCAGTTGTACAAACTATATAATCTTTTAATAGATGTATCTAACGATGCACCAGACAGAAAAGTGAGAGAAAAAATATCATATATATATAATATCGATCCTTATTATCTCCTTTTGTCGCAAACAAGTAACTAATCATCTCAGTTTTCTTCTGAATTTTAAATGATTTCCACTAATCAGAGACCTCACATTCCTTTGTGAGTCTTGTGTAAGTACATATTACACATAAATATACAATATACAATGTCAAGAGTACGATATACAATGTTCTTCTATCTATAAATATACGGAAAACTGATTACAAATATAACAACTTACATGTACACAGAAGTTTAGAGTTTAAATAGCATAACCTGCTTTACATAAACGACACAAACGAGCAGTGTCCTTGGTTGCTGTTCTTAACATGAAACCCAAAGGTAAAGATATAGGAAATTAGTTGATCAAACCTCAGGTAAAGTCATAACGTACAGAACCCCAAAAAGTGAGGTAGCATCACAAAGTCCAAGATCATTAAAGTTCAGGATCCCACTAAGGAATTAATATATCATTATGTTGCCAGATTGATAATTCAAAGTTCAGAAAGGCACAAGAAACACACCTCCAGTTGACTTAGCATCTCAATAGTAGAGTTCAAGTCACATCCATTTGCATAATACACTTCTGCAAGGCTCTCCAATGCAAAATCAGGGAACTGTGATGACAAGAACTCCACATGTTCTACCGTCATGTTCTCAGATGCACCATGCTCATTTAACAGACCCTTTAGAAAACCTGCACCTGGATCCCCACTATACTGGCCCCCATCCCTACAGTTAGTAAGATGCCAACTATCATTCATGAACTGCTTATCCAAGTTATTGGTTCTTGAATGCAAGAGGGGAGTTGACGAATAATCTTCAATAGCAGGACGACCAGCATAATCCGTTTTTTCCTTTAAACTTTTCTGCTCACTGCCTTGAGGTGAGATTTCCAGCTGCTTGCCCAAAATATGGCTGTCATTGGTCATAGAAAATATAGGTGGTTTAACCCCATCATTAATGGACAAACCTGCATGTGAAAGGTCAGAACGTGCTTGGAAGTCCTCTTCGCCCATGACATTGAAATCAGGGGTGATATCATCAGGTAATTGGCAGTGCCAGAACTGGTACGCTTCATCATCAGAGTGATTTGAAACATTGGACATGGATCGATGCAAGACTGTTTTCCTAGAGGTTCCAGGGACCTCCATTCTTGCCACGTCAACATTCCTGTTGTTTGCAGGCAGAGATCTAAGAGCAGAAGGCACAAACTCTGCAGCATTCGGATTCAAACTCGTCGCCTTGTTTGGTGAAGTTAATCTTGCATCTCCACTGCTTAAGAAACTTTTGCTAGATGAACTCATGCTTGACGGAAACTAAGAAAAGATATTACCTATATATAAGGTATAATAGAAGAAATCTACCATAAGATAATTATCCCAACCCTGAAAATCAATATGGAAAAAAGAAACAGTTAATATTAGGAAAACTCTGCACACAGGACAAAAACTCCATATCTAAGTATCATTTTGGTCGAAGATGGAAGTTATGGCATGTTCTGAAACCTTGTAGTTAAATCCTTCGGGAGTTGATTTCAGATGCTGAAATAAATTAGAACTGGCGGTTAAACAATAATTCCTAGGTTCCATTGGATTCAAACAAAAAAACACCTGCTAAAGCCAGGCTTCATGAATGTAATATAGAGAACACCACATACTGAAAGTTTTAAAGAATATTTTATGCATATAAACGATGTTATTGACCAGATCAGACTCACTACCGAATGATTACCCCTGACACAACTGACATGCGTCCCTGAGCCCTGGATCCCATTGTGGTCATTTTATTTTTAGGTATGAGTGGGTGTCCCCTTAGCCTGCAATGAGTCCCCTATAATTGTCAGCAGATTTTAATATGGGAGATGAGTGACTATATCCTCATTCCTATTTGTCAGTAAAGACTTGTTTTCCCTTATCACATTCTTTATTAATCTTCACTTTGATTCTTAATAGGACTGCATAAACGGTTAAGCATACAATGGCTTCAAGTCTAGATCACTGGAGACTTCACAAAATTCTCTCTTTTCATATGCACATGCCAGCATATCTCTTTGCGATTTCTCCATTTTCCACTTCATTCCCTCTGCTTATTTAGCCAGGCACCCTTAAGAGTAATCACAACTCTCTTTCTGCCATTGCAATTTCACTCTACCTACATCATAGACAATTCTACCACTGTACCTTGAGTTCTATTTCTTCTCATACATCTCTTTCCTTTCTTCATCTGCTCTCCATTGCTGCCACTGACCCCATTGTTCAGTTGTTCTTCTGTATCATCTACTGCCTCCTATTTTCTCTAGCTCTACTCCATTTTCGGCATTTATCTACTTAATTGTTTGTCACAATAAAAGAAAAGACCCAAACTCTTATAAAATTCATCGTAAGATTTCATTTTCGGCACCCTATATCTAACAGTCTTTTGTGACCCATGAAGTTCCTTCCTATATGAGAAAAAGTTTCATTTCTTTATACTTTGGTTCATTTGTTCTCTGATGATGCCCAATTTCAACTCAATTTAGGTGGACCAAAGGCCCAGGATGATGCAGCTCAGTTTCAGCTCAATTCAAGTGGACTAGAGGCCTAGGATGCATGAAGATACAATTCGGCCCAAATTCAGTTCAAGATGGCCCAATAGGAGATTTGGACATATTTTAATGCGTCAAAATCTCAATTCCCACATTTCGTCTTATTTCTCACGTTTTTCATAATTTCAAATAATCCCCTTAAACTGTTAAGGGCATTCTACTAGAGCACTCCTTTTTCTAAGGGGCGTTTTTAATAGATTTCTTCTTTTCTAAGTTAGTTGCAACTAAATTTTGGCCTATAAAAGACCTCCCTTTGTAGCCCCAGAGGCATTTATATTTTCATCAATCTAGTTTCAAGTTCCCTCAGTCTCTAGAGGTTCTCTATCTCTACTAATGGATTCCAACATCCCTGTGGACTCGAGGACTTTTTTTTGATCTTGTGGATCCAAGTTAAGGAATCTATTCATTTTGAGAGCTCAAGGTGATGAATTTTTAACAAAATCACATTCGCTGTGGACTCAAAGTCTTGATTCTGCTTCAAAAATACTCAGACAAAGTTGAACGTGATTAAATCAAATCATCAATTCTTCTAGTTTCTGTTGCATCATTCTCCCACATCCTTTTTTTTCCCGCTGCCCTTCATGGTGATGTTACTAGCTTCTATTTAGTTATTCTTCTTGTTTGGCCCCTGCTTTGTTAGTCAAATGTTTAGATATGCCCCTCATTCATCTTAATTTTCTACCGCTATCTTCTTTCTTTTTCGTATTTTAGAAGAAAACAGCCAAGCAAAGAGAGAATTATCGAGGGGACCCCCCAAAATGATCACATATCCTTCTTCTAAACTGGACCTAATAAGATTAGGACCGGAGCAATCCAAACACCAGACCAGGCTGGACTTATCTTCTAAACTAGAGGCTTATTTTATAGGCTAGTCAAAGGCCCTTTTGGCTATTGTCTGTATGAAAAATCAGAGGTCTGGCCTCCCTTGATTTCCTTTTTGTTTGTTCCAGACTCGGACCTGAAAATCAAGCCCAGCCCAGAGGCTTTCATCTGGGCTATGTGCTTAGAGATTCCAATAAAACATAGAGATTTCATTTTCTATGGTCTTCACCTAATACAGCTTTCCGGTGTCCGTAGAGATCCCTCCCTTGGTTAGAAGTTCCATTTTGCCTACACCTCTGTCTATCTCTCCCATTTCCAAGAGGAACACTGCACAAAGGAACCCGCATGGGCAGAAAAATAGTCTGTACGGTTCATAATTACTCAGTAATGGTTTAGCCATGCACGAGCATCGTTCATTTTAACAGAGGGAATCGGAAGTAGACAGCTTCCTCCGAGTCTCCTGCAACCGAAACTCACATTTATAAAGATAAACTCGCAGAAGGATAACCTAATATTTGTAGTCAGCGGTCTCGAAGGAATAGAAGAGTTGAAACGGAGAAGAGAAAGAGCCACAACAGGAGCTCAGACAGAGATCCCAGATCGGATGCGAAAACCAGAAATACGAACTACGGGGGCGGTCATTCGTCCAGTAAATCAAGGGATATTGATGATTAGCAAAGGATGAGGAAACAGGAGGAATGAAGAGATCTAGAGAAAACATAAAGAACAAAGTCTGTGCGTCTAACAGGAGATCGAACAAAATGAAATTGGAAGAAATAACCCAAAGGGAACGAAGAAAAACACCAAAATTATCCATCAGTAACGCGGATTCGGTCACGAGAGAGAGAGAGAGAGAGGCGGGGTCATCTTACCTTTTCTAAGCTCGACGAGTGGGAAAACGGAGAGGAACGGATCCATAACACGGAGAGGCTAAGGTCACGGAGTTTCTTCTCTAACCCCCTTCTCCTCTCCTCTCACTTTCTCTCTCCCTCCCTTCTCCTCCTCCTCCCCCACCTGCTCTCTGCCCACGCCTTCTTCGACCTGCTCCTCTCCCCCGCTCACCTCCCCCGCAGTGGCCCCCGACGTCGCGCTTGCTCCCCCCGCTGTTGCTGGGCTTTGAGGGCACGCCAGCGCCACAGAAAATGCGCCAGGGAAGAATTACAGCGAGAAACAGCTCCCCTAAATGGGAACCCCCACCCACACCCTCTCGCAGATCCCCTCACACCGTAGCTGACCTCCTCGCCACTCAATTTCACAGGACAAGACGAGAGAGAGAGACCAGAGACTATTAACACCTTGCACTTCCGACGACTTTTCTGGGTTCGTCAGGGCGGCGACTTTATTTCCCCCATAAATGTGTCATAAATTACGACAAATTCACATTTTTACTGCTTTTTCTTCTCCTCAAACCACATCCAACTCCCATTTATTGGCCATTCCGTTCGTATTTCACCTTCGCTCCATCCCTCCCTCCCTCTCATTCAGTCACCCTACTCGAGTTAAGCCCAGCCCTAGCTAACCTATCCATGATAACCATGCCCTTATTCTAATTCGTACTACGACCACCCCCCCCCCCCACACTCTCTCACCTCTCACTAGTATAGCTTACCTCGGTTTCCAAGAGCTGTTACTTTTGCAGGGCAATGCGTTGAACACAAAATTTACGCCCACATTTCATATGATTCCACCACTATTCATATGGTGGACATCAGTCAGAAAGCATGCATTTTATGCATACACTAGCCTAGAGACAACTAGAAGGGCATCAAGTTTCTTGGATCCAAAAGTTGATGCAGCTCAAGAATATGAATGGAAAGGGAATGCCCAATGGCTTTGGGAAACTAGCACAAAATCACATGCATAGCAACATTTTTGGTTTTTGTCTTAATGTCTGGATTCAACATCTACACTCATAAAAAACGTACCCAATTATACACAAAAACCTACAAGTAGATATGAATAAAATATAATGGTTATAAAATAATCTTCATAACATGAATTCATTTTCGAGACATGAATATCAAATGGTACATTTTGGCTTTAAGAGCCATTCATATTTAATGACCAAATATTGAATTATTATTCCCAATACAACATGTTGACCCTTGTAAAAGTCCCATTCAAAGCTCATAGCCAATATTGCCGATAATTGACCATTTTCTTGGTTTAAGAATAGTCAACTCTCATATACTAGTTCAAATCTCTCACGTAATGGGTCAATTTTCTCCTTACTTGGTCTAAGCACATAAACAAGAAGATAGTGAGTAGTATGAGAATTAACCTTATATGATCATAATTTTATGGATTAGTTTATCTCTCTTGTCATGTTGTAAGTGATCATCTGGATGAAAAGTTAGCCAATGGAGGAAGAGGGATATTGAAAAGAGAGGAAGGGGGATTAGAGAGAGAGAGAGGGACAAAATGATGATAAGAGGAAAGGGAACAAGGTCTCCTACCCACAATGAGTGGATTCCCTCCTATATACTTGGTAGTCACTTTGTGCACAGACATCACCCACCTAACAAAACTAGCATATATTGCTGAATTTTGGAATCTCAAATAAGTTTTGAAGTTGACAAAAGAGTACAATGACAAAAAGGGTCTTTTTTACATTCTATTATAGTTTGATGCATCAATGGCAATATTTCAGATTGCAAGAAGGATGGCTAGAGATTTCATGTAAAAATACCAGCCCCTCTCAGTTCATAAAAAAAGGATATTGTAATTTATTGATCCCATAGATTATTCCTTTTAGTACTATTCACAGAAAGGAGGAGCCGTATGAGATGAAAATCTCACATATGGTTCTGGAAGGGGGGTTCTTTGAATAGAATGACGACCGTAATTGATGTTGGCTCATATCAAGTTTACATAAAAAATGGCACATATACGTAAAAA